GCAACCAGAGAGCTTTCGAGAGCGGCTTACTCGTGGGTGTTCTTCGATGCTGAGGGTGTGCAGCGGTATGTAGCAAAAGGAGTTGTATGGCCGAGTTTACCCCAAACCAGTCAAGCAGCAGAACAACTCCAGCTTGCCTTGCTTCCAAGATATGTACCTAATCATGGACCGACGTTATACAGCGATTGTATGAATGCCGTCAAGCTGCACAACATGAAACCGTCATGTCAAGTTTCGGCCAAGCAACGTTATGGAGGGTTGAGAAGGGGGGCCCTGCTCCACATGAAGGACCAAGAGTATGCCCCAGCTGTTCACACCCCTGCCCATAGGAAGTTAGAAGACATCGAGCAGCTGCCCCCACCTGAGCGGTGGATCGGCCAGGCTAACTGGCGAGCGGATCGAGAGGCTAAAGGAGCCCTTGACCTGCATCCCAGACCCTCACCAGCCGACTGGCAGCAGCTGGACAGCTCGATCGAGAGTCTCGAAACGGTGGCCCGCCTCGTGGCGAATGTATTGCCGTGTTTTCCGAGGGTGCACCACCAGCGCCCACCGCGGCGTGAGCGCCAGCGTAAGGTCATTGCGTGCGCCACGAGCTGGCATGACTGGGAGCCCTGGCTGTGGGGCCACAGGTGTGCTAAATGTTTAAGTTTCCAGGGGGGTAACCTCCAAGATAGGCCAGAGGTTGGATGCATGGGACTCTCGAGGAGCCTCACCAGGTTGCTCTCCGAGGCCCCCGACCACGGCCACAAGTTAGCTAGTACGCAAGTAGGTGACGAGAAGCTGCCCCTAGTGTTCTGTATGCTCTGCGGTAGCTACACTCAAGAGAAAGTTCGTAATCTGGCAGTGAAATGTGATCCTAGGGAACACAGCGCAGGTGCCAGTGTGCTGAGCAGGCTCAAGCGTGGCCTTCATCCTCAGCGCAATGTGGCAGTTTCGTGTGCGGCTCCTGAACGTCCTGTGTCAGGAGCGGCAGTGCGGGCCTTTGCGACCGCTTCGCGGGTGCACCTCATCCCTCCGTGCACGTCTCACTTGGAATGTTTGGCCCCTCTGAGGGCTAGGATTGCCGAGAGAGAAACGGGGGTGCGGGTGGATTTTGAGAGCGGGGGGCGGGAAGGGCAACATGATGCTCTAGGTGTGCAGAGACCTGCACCTGGAGACGAAGTTTGTGGTGCTTTGTTTGAGGCGGAGGAAGCAACCGCTCGTGAATTCTTTGAGGTCAGGGTGCCTGTTGCTACGCCTGAGGTTCCCGTGCAAGGCACCTCCGCTGCGTCTGACCCCCGTGCGGTGATGAGGAATGTGTCCGACTTGCTGCGAAGCGAGGAGGATGAGGCTCCTCTGATCCCGAACCGCCCTGATGGCTCGGAGTCGGGGTCAGACTAACGCCTGGGGACTGGCGGGTGGCCAAGGGACATCCTCCCTTTTGGGAGATGAGTCCGTGGTCGCCTGCTGGTCCCTCGTCTGGTGTTAGGTTCAGTGCGGCTGCTTGGTCAGCCGCTTTGTAAAACTTGTCTGGCCGAAGGTGGCCCCCCCCAAAAAAAACAGCCTGTGAGCGCGGGGGAACAAAGAATTGAGGGGCACGGTAACGCCACAGGGCCCGACGGAATGCAGCCTTGAACGATCGGGGCCGCGATCGATTCAAGGTTGAGCGATCGGCGCGGTGTTGAAAAATTCTGCGCGCGCCAACGCCGAACGAACCTTCCGTGACACGTCCAAAATCCTCCACCCCCGATCTGCAAGTGTCGGGGGCAAGCCTTGGAGTCGGGGCGCTGAGAGAAAGAAAGAAAAATACCTTTTCGTTTGGGCGGGGCTCCGTGTTCCTTTTGCTGTTTTCCAGTTTGCCTCATGTTGTCCTCCGGCATCCGATGGGACATCGCAGGGTAGCTCATGGAAAGAAGGGGCCTCGTTCCTTATTTCTCGCTTCTTTTGGTCAACGCCCTAGCTGTACCAGTGCTCGCTGGTGGCCGGGGAAGGGGCGGCCTCTTGCTCTGCCCTCGCTCTGCAGGGCCGTTTGCAGGCTGGCGGCCTTGCCAGAGCCGGCAGGCCCTCGACGAGCAGTGGCGGCGGCGGCGCGGCGGCAGCGGCGACGACTGATGCCGAATCGATTCGAGGAGGAGGAAGAGGGGGAGGAGGAGGAGGACAACGAGGAGGAGGAGGAGAAGGGGGAGGAGGAGGAGGAGGAGGAGGAGGAGGAGGAGGAGGAGGAGGAGGACGAGGACGAGGAGGGAGGAGGAGGAGGAGGAGGAGGCGGAGGATGATGATAAGGAGGAGGAAGAGGAGCCGTGCCGTGCCCGAGGTCATGGGTCGGGGGTCGTAGAGGGAGGGCAATCCCAAGGTGGGGCCGGAGAGCGTGCCCAGCCAGGTGCTCCCGCTGAGCGCGCTGCCGTCTTCCAGGGGCCTTCCCGAGCGCTTTGCCCTCCAGTCCCTCCTCTGCCTCCTCCAGCCCCACCCCTGTGCCCCCCCCGAAGGGGGAGGGCCGTGGAGCTCGGGGAGCGGGCGGGCGGCGCGAGACTGCGCCGAGGGAGCCGCGCGATGCTGAGGAGTTGGGTGGCGTGGGCCTGCCGCGCGGCAGTGCGGGCGCGCTGCCCCCCGCGTCGTCCGTTCGCCGCGCGGGAGGCCGGCAGGGGCAGGGTGCACGCGCCGCGCCGGCGCGGCGGCGCGGCCAGCACAGGGCGTTCTCAGTCGGCGGCGGGCGAAGGGTGGGGAATGAGAAGGGGAGGGCTATCTCAGAAGGAGGCGGGACTTCTCGGAAGCCTCGGCGCCTTCTGGGAAGTTGTCTCTGTCTTCGGGGAAGGCTTTCGGCCAAAAGACAAGCGACATCACCCCCCCTACGGCCCTCCATGTTGCGCCACGGCCCATCGGTGGCCGTAGCGTATACCAAGCAAAAGCCCACGCCGCATGTTCAGGTATACGCTACGGCCCGTGGGGCCGTCGGTGGGGTGGTGCCGCTTGTTTTCTGGTGCAGGGTTAGAAAACTTTTCAGAAGGCCGGGGGACTTCCGAACCTTCTGGGAAGGCTTTCTCCTTCTCAGTTTCCCCCCGCGCTCGCCGCCAATTCAGGGCTACAGGCCACCCATGGGTGCAGACTGGGTCAACTTAGGGCCATCCCCGCTGTCGGATCCCAGCCCTGACATGCTCGCGTCCAGCGCAGATCGCCGTTTGGGGCCCTTGCGGGGGCCCCTGCGGGGACCCCTCGGCTGGCCTTGGGGTCGCCAGCAGAACGACTCGGGATGAGAAACCCGTCCGGAGTAAAGGGTCGGGGGAAGGGTGGAGAGGAAGGAGAGGGACAATGCCATGATGATGATGATGATGATGATGATGATGATGATGATGATGATGATGATGATGATGATGATGATGATGATGATGATGATGATGATGATGATGATGATGATGATGATGATGATGATGATGATGATGAGATGATGATGATGATGATGATGATGATGATGATGATGATGATGATGATGATGATGATGATGATGATGATGATGATGATGATGAGATGATGATGATGATGAGGATGAGGATGAGGATGATGATGATGATGATGATGATGATGATGATGATGATGATGATGATGATGATGATGATGATGATGAAGAGGAGCAAGATGAGCAGAAGGAGGGAGAAAAGGAGCGGAGGAGAAAGAGGAGAAGGAGCTGATGAAGGAGGAAGAGGAGGAGGAGAAGGAGGAGCAGGACGAGGACGAGGACTTCGAGTGACGCTTTGGGACCTCGAGTGACCCAATGGCGAAAACGTTGAAGCACCGCATGCTTGGGTTCCTGTCGCGCCGGCGCGGCAGCGACCCCCACCGCGGGCGCGCAAGTTTGAACGCCGCCAGCGGCCGCCCGGAATCGGCCAACAGGGAACGAGCTGCAGGAGGGAGAAACAGAAACACACACAGACACAATTCATCGTCGACTCCCTGGAAAATCCATGAAATGTATGGGAAGTGTGGTGGGCGACGAACATCCAGATACTATGACAAGATGCTGGGACTCTCGGGACATGTGTGGTACTTGCTCGGGTGTCCCCTGGGCCCATTCCGTCTGGCGCTCGAGAGGCCGCCGATCCTTCCGGGCTGCACGCTCCGCGCGGTGTTCCAGACCGCGCCCTGCTGAAATTTCAGCGAGGCATCGCATGGCTGGGCGGGGCGCCGTGCGAGAGGCCACTGCCCGCGCCGCCCGCGCCGGGAGCCCGCCGCGCCCCGCGAGGCATGCCCCCCCCCCCCCCACGCGCCCTCCGCGCCGCATGCCCGGCGCCGCGGCAGGGGCGCCCGGCGGCGCCCTCCCGGGCCACCGCCCCCGGGCGCGCGCGCCCCGCGCGGGCGGCGGCGCGGGCGGCGCGGCACGCACGGCGTGCCCGTGCCTCCGGAGGGAGGCAGAGCGGCACGGCAAAAGCGTTCGGGGCTCCGCGCAGGGGCCCTGGATCGTCGCTGGGGCCCCCCCCGCGGCGCCTCTGGAGCCGCCCGTGGCGCGCTCCGCGCGCCCGGGGGGGTCTCCAGCTTAGAGCGCGAGGAGCTCCGCGCGGAGCTCGGGAAGTCGACGTTTTGGACCTTCGATGCGGTTCTTACATATGTGTATATATAATTTTATATTTCTATGTATTATATATATGTATATATTCATTCATACGACCCCCCAGAAGTCCCGATTCTTCCCCCAGAGCTGGGTTCTCTTCATCCTCGGTCGTTCCTGGATGGTCCCGACGGGACCCCCCCCGGCGGCCCGCCGAGGGCCCCGAGGAGGCCGAACATGGCCCAAGTCCCCCCCCTCGTAATTTTTTCACGACGCGGGGCATGCCTGGCTCTCGGACCATTCGGGACGCTCCGGGCGCTCCCGGGCCGCCCTCGGCGAGGCGCAGCTGCCGGACGGCGCCCCGAGGCGGAAGGACCGCCGAGCGCCGCGGAGAGCGTCCGAAAGCCAGATGGGGGAGAGAAAAGCTCGAGTGCCGCTGTTGCTCCCTGGAAGAGACGCTCGAGTGCCGTTGTGGCTCCCTCCAGCCTCGGCCCGGGTGACCGGGACCGCTTCGCGCAGGACTCGGGCCGAACGAAAGGGGGGGACAGGGAAAGGGGGGGGGGACGAAATCTGCTGCATGCAGCTGGTTTCGGCCTCGCCGCCGGGCCCATTCCTCGATACATGGGCGCCTCCCGGCGCCGGGAGGCGTCGGGACAATCCCCCCCCTGTCGCCCGATCCGAAGGAGGGCCTCCTGCACCTGCGCGGCGTCTTCGCGGGCGGGGCCCGCCGCCGCCTGCTCCAGGCGGCGCGGCGCCTGCTGGAGCGCCTGTGGGGCGCTCCGCCCAGGCCCCCGGGGGCGGCGGCACGGCGGGGGGCGGTGGGTGCGGGGGGGTGCCCAGGGTCTACCAGCTCGACAACACACACACACACACATAAACACACACACACACGACACACACACACACACACACACACACACACACACACACACACACACACACACACACACACACACACCACACACACACACACACACACACACACACACACACACACAACACACACACACACACACACACACACACACACACACACACACACACACACACACACACACACACATATATATATATATATATATATATATATATATATACAAGACTGCATTGGCGCTGCGCGCCATGCACCTTGGCCCTTTGGAATTCGCACGCTAGCGGAGTGCGAGCGTGCGTACATGCGCACACACATGCGTCTATGAATGCATCGTGCATATGTACACATATATATATATATATATATATATATATATACATATGGAACATATGTACATGTATATGCAGATGGTCAGTGTAACTATGCGTGCGCGTACACATGCGTATATCAGGCGGTAGTGGCCTGACCAGTTGCTCATAGCATCGCGCCACTAAAAGGCGCGAGGGTCTCAAGCAAACTTGGTCAGACTACCATGGGACAGTGCGTCGCCGAGGTCACTGTTGCGAGGACGTGCCGGGTGAAAATGGTTTGAACACCTCCGCTCAGGGAGGGCATGTCCGGAGTCAGCCTTGCGAGGAAGTTTCAAGCGAGGAGAGGTCTGAACACCTCTGCTCAGGGCATCCTTGAACTTAGAGTTGCGAGAAGTCGCACGCGAAAGTGGCCGAACCACCATGGTGCAAGGCACCTCCGAAGTGAGACTTGCGAGAGTGTCTCAGGCGACCCTGGCTGGAACACCTGAACTGAGAGTGTCTCGGGCCCCAGAGCTGCGATGTCTCAAGCGAAAACGGCGGGACCGATGCGAAGCAAGGCGCTTCTGAGGTCGGAGTTGCGAGCATATCTCTGGCGTAGCGGATTAGGCTTTTTTCCGTTATCTCCTCTTTCTCCTTCCCCTTTTCTTTTCCTTTCCTCCTCCTCCTCCCCCTCCTCATCCTCCTCCTCCTCCTCCTCCTCCTCCTGTTCCTCCTCCTCCTCTTCCTCTCCCCCCTCTCCGCTTCTTTTTGTTGCCCATTCTCCCCACCCCTGGCGTTGCGGCGCGGCGCCGCTCGGCCTCTCTGCGAGTCAAGCGGCAAAGGGTGAGAGGACCCCCCCCGAATTAGGAACGGTTTTTCCCAAGCCGCCAAGGGGGCCCGAAGGTAGTGCAAGAAGCGGTGCAGGTTTTGAAATCCCCCAGGGGCTCCTCGGATTCGGCCGGCCCTCTCCGGTAAGGTAGACAAGGGCACCGCGCCCAGGTGCTCAATCCCCGCGGTTTGTATTGAGTGTTGCGAGAAGCTCAGTCGAGGCGGGAGGAGGAACATGAAGAGGATGAGGAGAAGGAGGAGGAGGAAGAGGGGGAGGATGAAGAGGAGGAAGAGGATGAACGGGACAGATTATGTGGATACCTGGGCCACAGCCGAGGTGTCGCGGAAGAAATCCGCAGCAGAGACTTGGGAGAGTGAGGAAAGCTGCTTCTGCTAGAGTTTTGGCGGGGCGGAACGTGAAACATCCCGGGGACTTAGGAGAAGGAGGGGGGGAGGTAGAGGAGGAAGAGAATGAGGAAGAGGGGGGGGGCTCTTGGGTCCTTCGGTGGTTTGAACGAAAAATGGCCTCGCTGCGCCATTTGATACGACAGCGACGACGACGAAGAAGGCGACGACAAAGAGAAGGGATAATGAGAGGGGGAGACCGCTGTGTTGGGATCTCGTGGTGCGCCTCTCGGGGCCCTCTGGGAGGCAGTTTTGAAGCCTCTTGGGAGTGTTTTGGGGTTCTGGGGATCTTTTTTGGTGCATCTTGGGGGCCTCTTTGGGGCTCCTTGGGCCCCCTTGGGAGCCTCTTGGGGCCTCATAGGCCTCTCTCTGGGCCTCTTGGGGCCCTCTCGCGGCGGAAAATTTGGTTTTTGAGTTTTTGGGCGCCTTTTTGGGTCTCTCTTGGGGCCGTATTGGCGCTCTCTTGGGCCGTCTTGGGCGCCTCTTGGGCGGTGTCGGAGCCCTCCTGGACCGTGTTTGGGCCTTCTTGGGGGCCTCTTGGGCAGCACGGGGGCGATCTAAGGAGCCCCTTGGGCCATTGTGGGGCGTCGGGCAGCGGGGGGAGCGGGCAGGCCAACAACGTCGAAATACGCACAGGAAAAACAACAATTGTAGCCTTTCGGGGCTCTCTTGGGAAGCTTCTTTGGGGTTTCTGGGGGCGTTTTGGACGCGTCGTGGGCAGTCCTGGGCCCAGATTGGGCGTATTGGGCCGACCTTTGGGTGTCTCGGGGCCCTCTTTGTCCGTCGTGGGTTTTTCCCCACATCCTAAGTGGGGTTCTTGTTTTCTCTGCGCACCCTCCGCGCAGGATCTCTCGTCTTCCTCCCTCTCCTCTGCTCCTCTTTGCTTCCTCCTCCGCATCATCATCACCATCACCAGCACCCCCCACTCATCATCATCATCATCATCATCACCATCAGCATCACCATCACCGTCGCACGATCACTTACCATCATCGGCATCGAACGATCATCATCATCCTCACCATCATCATCATCATCATCATAACTACTCGCTGACTCACCACTTCGTCCCCGTCATCATCACCACCATTTACCATCAGAATCGCACGATCACTCACCATCAGCACTCATCATCACCACCATCATCATCATCACGTCGTCATCATCACCACCACCATCATCATCATCATCATCACCATCATCATCATCAACCATATATCATCATCAAACACTGTCGTCATCATCCCATCACCATCATCCAGCAACAGGGAGTCTCGTCTGTGAGTGAATTGTGAGGAAGTCTCAGGCGGGAGCCCCCTCCCTATGGGGCCCGCAGATCATGTTATTAATCCGAGCGGGTCATCGGATTCTTGTAACCGTCGTCACTTTTGGGCTCCTCAGGTTTGAATTTGGAGGAAGTATCAAGCGGGAGCCTCGTCTGTGAGTGAATTGCAAGGAAGTCTCAGGCGGGAGCCCCCTTCCTATGGGGCCCGCAGATCATGTTAGTCATCCGAGCGGGTCATCGGATTCTTGTAACGGTCGTCACTTTTGGGCTCCTCAGGTCTGAATTTGGAGGAAATATCAGGCGGGAGCCTCGTTTGTCAGCGAATTGCGAGCAAGTCTCAGGCGGGAGCCCCCTCCCTATGGGGCCCGCAGATTATGTTATTAATCCGAGCGGGTCATCGGATTCCTGTAACTGTCGTCACTTTTGGGCTCCGCAGGTCTGAATTTGGAGGAAGTATCAAGCGGGACCCTCGTCTGTGAGTGAATTGTGAGGGCGCGTCAAGCGGGAGCCCCCTCACTATGAGGCCGCAGATCATGTTACTAATCCGAGCGGGTCATCGGATTCTTGTAACTGTCGTCACTTTTGGGCTCCTCAGGTTTGAATTTGGAGGAAGTATCAAGCGGGAACTTCGTCTGTGAGTGACTTGCGAGCAAGTCTCAGGCGGGAGCCCCCTCCCTATGGGGCCCGCAGATTATGTTATTAATCCGAGCGGGTCATCGGATTCCTGTAACTGTCGTCACTTTTGGGCTCCTCAGGTTTGAATTTGGAGGAAGTATCAAGCGGGATCCTCGTCTGTGAGTGAATTATGAGCAAGTCTCAGGCGGGAGCCCCCTCCCTATGGGGCCCGCAGATCATGTTACTAATCCGACCCGGGTCATCGGATTCTTGTAACTGTCGTCACTTTTGGGCTCCTCAGGTCTGAATTTGGAGGAAGTATCAAGCGGGAGCTTCGTCTGTGAGTGACTTGTGAGGAAGTCTCAGGCGGGAGCCCCCTCCCTATGGGGCCCGCGGATCATGTTATCCAAGCGGGTAATCGGATTCTTATAACTGTCGTCACTTTTGGGCTCCTCAGGTCTGAATTTGGAGGAAATATCAGGCGGGAGCTTCGTTTGTCACTGAATTGCGAGCAAGTCTCAGGCGGGAGCCCCCTCCCTATGGGGCCCGCAGATCATGTTACTAATCCAAGCGGGTCATCGGATTCTTGTAGCTGTCGTCACTTTTGGGCTCCTCAGGTTTGAATTTGGAAGAAGTATCAAGCCGGACCCTCGTCTGTGAGTGAATTGTGAGGACGCGTCAGGCGGGAGCCTTCCTTTGGGTCCCGCAGCTCACGTGGTTCCTCCGGGTCATCCTCCGGCGCGCGCTTCCTCTGGGTCGTCCTCCGGCGCGTATCGGCTGGGACGCACGTCGTGCGTTTCCTCTGGGTCGTGTTCCGCACGAGGACGAGGAGGAGGAGGATTGCCAGGAAAAGGAGGAGGGATGATGCAGGACGAGACAGGAAAGCAGGAAGAGGAAGAGGCTGAGGGGAGGAAGGACGAGGAGGAAAAGGAGGAGGAGGAATGCCCGAGGAGGCCCCAGTAGGTCCCGGAAGGCCCAGAAGGCTCCAGGAGGCCCCAAGGAGGCCCCAGGAGGCCCCAGGAGGGGGCAGGAGGCCTAAGGAGGAGGCAGGAGGAGGAGGAGGAGGAGGAGGAGGAGGAGGAGGAGGAGGAGGAGGAGGAGGAGGAGGAGGAGGAGGAGGAGGAGGAGGAGGAGGAGGAGGAGGAGGAGGAGGAGGAGGAGGAGGGGGGAGGCAGGAGGAGGAGGAGGAGGAAGCGAGGGGAGGAGGAGGAGGAGGAGGAGGAGGAGGAGGAGGAGAAGGGAGAGGGAGAGCAGGAGGAGGAGGCAGGAGGCAGGAGGGGCAGGGGGAATGGGGGGGAGGAAGCATAACGAGGGGGAGGGGGAGGAGGTGGAGGAGGCAAGAAGAGGAGGAAGAGGCAGGGGTTGAGGCAGGAGGAGGAGCAGACAGGAGGATAACGAGGAGGCAAGAGTAGGTAGGAGAAGGGAAGGGGCAGGAGGATACCCCCATGCAAGCTAAAGAGATTCTCATGCGGGGTCCTTCCGTCGGAGTAATGTTTAGGCGTCGCACTCGCAGGACAGACACGGAGCACTCTGCAGGAGCGCCCCAAAGGCTCGGGGAGGCCGAAATTCGTTTTTTTTTTTGGGGGGGGGGCACCGTGTGCCGCTTTTCCGGGGTCCCCGGCCCTATATATATATATATATATATATATACACACACACACACACACACACATCTCCTTACCCTTAGAGTCGGGCCTGGGCCTCCACTTTTTTGGGCGGCGGGTCGGGGGCGGGCCCCTTCCGGTTAAGAGCTTGGCGGGGCGCGCGGAGCCTTAATTGGGGAGACAGGGCGCCGGCGGGCGGGGCCTCCGGCGGCCGGAGGGTGCTGAGTACAGACGGCCTGTCCTTCCACAGGAGAGGAATATCCTGAAACAGATTAACACATACTCTGGGGCCGTGTTGTTTAGTATTTGTTCTGCCATGTTTGAATATGTGTTGAGTCTGTTTTATTCTCCGTGCGAAAACCGCCTGTAGGAGGACATGCCCGACCTAACCTTACCCCTGTGTTTGGCAGTTCCTCCATTCGCGGCTGCCCTGTCCGTCCTCATCCTCCCCCTGCATGCTGGCGCATTCGCTCCTCGGTGCCCCTGTTTAGCGCTATCGCTGGTGCAGCCATTCTGCCTCGCCGCCGCCGAAAAAAAGGTGTTTGGCAGTTCCTTACCTCGGTTCCAATCTTCAGGATCACTTCAGTTTCTGAGGACACATCCCTCAGAGTTTCATCGCCTCGGGCTTGCGGATCCGAGGGATCGGGATAGGTTTGAGGTTGGGGAAAGCTGGAGCCGTCAGCGGGGGCCGTGTTCAGGCCCCAGGACGGTGAAAAATGGATCAGGGGTGAAGAATGACACCAGATGAACCCAAAGAGGGGCACGTCACAGATTTTGAACGGATTGGGTTTCAACCCCCGTTCCTGACAGGTTTTCCAAGCAGTCAGTGGACGATTGCGGCCCCCCCCCCTCTGAGCGGATATCCCCCCCACGGTGAGGACATTGGATGAGGAGCCCTTGGTCAGGGAATCCAGGGTCTGGGAGACGGTGAATCTCCAATCCTGGATTGGCCGTGTGTATCACCGCCGCCCTCATCAGAAAAATAATCCCCCAGGGTGTGAAGCCGCATGGGCACATTCCTTGGGGAACAGGTTATGACAAATACATACACTTCCAAAGGTCCGCGCGGATTTTTCGGATCGGCGTCGGAGCCCCCTGCCAGCGCCTCAGGTGCCGCCCCTGGCGCGCTCTGCGCGCCAGGGAGGGGGGGCTAGCGCCGATCCAAGAAATCAGCGCGGACATCCGAAAGTGCACGTGTATGCCATTAATTCGTGCCCCAAGGAATGTGCCCATGCAGCTTCAGACCCCGGGGGATTCCTTATCTGATGAGGGCGGCGGTGGTCATATCCAGGTGGCCCTTCAATGCACGATTGGAGTTTCACCTCCTTCCAGACCCTGGACTTCTCATCCAAGGGTTCCTCATCCAATGCCCTCTCCGTCGGGGGGATCGGCTCAGGGACGGATGCGTCGACCACCTATCGCCCATTGATCGCCGACAGCGCCTATCGCCGACCAGTCGGCGACGCATCGGCCGATTCCGGGTCGATGCTTCCCTCGCTGAGCAGGTCGCCGCCCCCCCCCCTATCGTTGCCCCTAACCTGCAGGGGGGCCGTGGAGGCGGAGCCCACGGCCCCGGGGCAGTACGGCTTCGGCGAGCCCAGGGACTTGGGCTCCATACCCCGGCTGCGCCGGAGGGTGCTGCGGCGCGGCGGCTACCGGCTCTGCCCCCTCGGATCAACAGCGTTGGGGGGCGTATTGTTAAGTCAGGCCAGTCCCCCTACAAGGGGATTGTCGACGAAAAATCAAAAATACCATCAAAATAGCCAAACAAAAAAACAAAAAATAGTCCAGGACTATTTTTTGAGCATTGTTTGGCCATTTGGGGGCATTTTTGGTGTATTTTCTTTGTGGGAAATCCCCTTGTAGGGGGGCAGGCCCGACTTAAGCGTATTGTTCCGTTGTCGAGGTCGACGTTCTCATGCCGCTTCGAGCGCCGTGTGCTGTGCTGCTCTCAGAGGTCTGTGACCGGCCCGTGGCCCACCTGCTCGCTCTCCTTCCGTTTTTCAGCACGTTCTCTCTCTCTCTCTCTGTATTCTTGCGCGGCGTTGGTATCACGATGTCGCCTGCGCGATACCCACATTCCAGGATGCCGTTTTTAGGCCGCTCTGCTCGAGCCGCAAAAGGCGACAAGTGGAGGACTGGGCCAGAACACGTCCCCAGCGTTCTCTTGAGGTGATCGTTGTTTTAGTCTTTCTTTGGCCGATCGGCGTGGGCCCTAGCACCCCCCTTCCCCCCCCTGGAGTAGATCTTGGCTGGTTTTGGCGCCTGCTTCAAGCAAGTGGTGTCTCCCCCCATAGGACGGAGTGTTGCAGACAGTCGCGCTAAGCAGAGGTTTGGAGCCAGACCCCCCCCCTCCCTTTCCCCCCCCTTCCACACAGTGCCGAAATTCCGAATCAGAAAACGTTCACAAGAACAGCTGATGCTTTACCTGATACGGCTTTGGTATCAGAATGTCGCCTGCTCGACGCCCACATTCCAGGGTGCCGTTTTTAGACCGTTCTGCTCGAGCCACAAGAGCGACAAGTGGAAACCCGAGCCAAAACACGCCCCCAGCGCTTTCAAGAACAATTGAGCGACCGAAACAACCGGGATCGTTTGCGCTGACATTGGCGCGCAAGTTGCCCGCGTAAGAGCGCGCGCGGGCGCTCTCGTCTCCAATGTTGCGTGTGCCGCTCCAGTGGCCCGCGCAAGTCACCGCGCAAGGTCGCTGCACCATCGTGCGTAAGACCCGCTTTTGATCGTCGCTCAACTTGAGGCTCTACCTGATTTTCTCGAGCCCCGCGCCTCTGCGCCTGGACTAGGGTTAAGTCGGGCGCGTCCCTCTACAGAGGAAAATTCAAAAATAGTCCAACAATAGTCTGGGGACGAATTTTCGATCTTTTATTTTTGTTGAATATTTTTCCGCCTGTAGGGGGAAATGCGCGACCTAAGACTAGGGAAACGAAACATTGCATAAACATGAAAACTCGGTCCTCGCGTATTTCTTGGATCCGCGCTGGACCCCCCTCCCTAGCGCGCGGAGCGCGCCAGGGGCGGCGCCGGCGCCAGGGGGCCCCAGCGCCGATGTGAGAGATGCGCGCGGACCTTTGAGTTTTTATGCTTATGTCTTTATTCGTTCCCTGATGGACTGGCCAGGAATGAAGACTGCAAAAAATCCCCGTGAAATGCACTTCGTCTGTCGCTCGCCGTTTTCGGGGCTTTGATTTGACAGAGGTCCACGCGAGAAGCCGCCGCAGCACGTCTGCCAGGTCGGGGCAGTGACGAGGCTCTGCCTGAACTTCTCGAGCCCCGCGCCAGGGGCGGCGCCGGAGGCGCCGCCAGGGGACCCCAGCGCCGATGTGAGAAATACGCGCGGGCCTCCAAGTTTTTATGTTTACGTCATTGCTTCGTTCCCCTAGTCTTAAGTTGTGCCGGCCCCTCTACAGGAGGAAAATTCAAACATAGTAAAAGAAAAGTATGAGGATTATTGTTTTATGATTTTTTGACCAGTTTTGAATATGTTTCACTCTTATTCGTTTTTCCTTGAATATAGGCCTGTAGGGGGACAGGCCCGACCTAACCCTAGTAAGACCCTTTTTTTGATCGTCGCTCAGCTGAGGCTATACCTGAACTTCTCGAGCCCCGCGCCAGGGGCGGCGCCGGAGGCGCCGCCAGGGGACCCCAGCGCCGATGTGAGAAATATGCGCGGACCTCCGAGTTTTAATGTTCATGTTATATTGCTTCGTTCCCCTAGTATAAAGTTGGGCCGGCCCCTCTACAGGAGGAGTCTTGAAAAATGGTCAACACATAGTCTGGGGACTATTTGTTTTCATGATTTGTTTGGACCAGTTTTGCATATGTTCGGACTCTCTAATCTTGTTTCATCGACCATCGGCCTGTAGGGGGACAGGCCCGACCTAACCCTAGCAGGACCCTTTCTTGAGCCCCGCGCCCTACCTGAGCTCTACCTGAGCTCTACCTGAGCTTTGCTCTACCTGAGCCCCAGCCCGCTGGCCCGGGCCCTACCTTTGCTCTACCTGAGCTCTGCTCGCCCCGGGCCCTGCTTGAGGCTCTGCCTGAGCTCTGCTCGAGCCCCGCGCTCGGCTCCTGGACCGTTCATTGTTGCGGTCGTTGCAGGTCCGGGGGGGGATCGGCCCGTGGTCGACCGGCTCCTCTTTTTTCGGTCCGCTCCCAGCACGCTTCTGTTGGAAGCACGGCCTACACACTGTTCCTCTCTGGTTCTTCGAAGGTTCTCTGATTGCTTGTGGGGGCCAAGATCCTGTCTTGTCGAATTGTCCTATCCAGGGCCTCTTCCTGGCCACCAGGGGGCCAGGAACACTTAGAAACGAGCACAGTCAGAAATGAGCACGCTGAGAAATGAACGACGTGTAGGTATCACAGGGTCGCCTGCTCGACGCCCACCCTCCAGGGTGCCGTCTTCAGAACGTTTTTGCAAATTCGGCAGGGTGAAGCATGAGCCAACACACGTCCCCGGCGTTTTCAAGAACGACCGAGGCTCTGCCTGAACTTCTCGAGGGAGGGTTGGGCAAAAACACACAGGAGGGTTGGGGGGGAAGAGAATGAGGCTCTACCTGAACTTCTCGAGAGGGATGGCTGGGACAAAAAACACACAGGAGGGTTGATGAACAGTAGTTGAGGCTCTACCTGAACTTCTCGAGAGGGAGGGCTGGGAACAAAAAATTACACAGGAGGGTTGGGGAAACACAACATTGAGGCTCTACCTTAACTTCTCGAGAGGGAGGGTTGGGGATACATCGCACACAGGAGAGTTGGGGGAAAACAAAACAAGTGAGGCTCGATCTGAACTTCTCGAGAGGGAGGGTTGGGAAACAATCGCAGGAGGGTTTGGGAGAAGAAACTGGAGACCCTACCTGAACTTCTCGAGAGGGAGGTCTGGGACACACAGCACACAGGAGGTTTTTTTTTGGGGGGGGGGGGGGCAAATATGAGGCTCGACCTGAACTTCTCGAGAGGGAAGGTTGGGAGAAAAAACACACGCACACACACACACACACTCATACACAGGAGGTTTGGGGGGGAGACACCAAAAATGGAGGCTCGACCCGAACTTCTCGAGAGGGATGGCTTGGGAAGAAAGAAAAAAACAACACGCGCAGGAGGGCTGGAGGGAGAGCGGAACAAACGGAGGCTCTACCTGAACTTCTCGAGCCCCGCCCTGCGCGCCTGGACCGCGCTGCTGCTGGACCCGCGGGTGCTCTGCCGCGCGCGGGCCCTCACGGGCGGGCGGCCGCTGCGGGTCAACGGCCTCGCGTTCGAGCGGGGCACGCAGCAGGCGCTGCACGCCGACACCTGGCGCCCCGGGCGGAGGGGCGGGCTGAGACCATCGATGGTCCTTGGGAACAAGAGGGCTCCCAAGCCTGACATGAAGCCGGGCGTGTCCTTCCACGGGAGGAAAATGTGTAAACAGCCAAAAAAACAGTCGGGGGACGATTTCCTCCGTTTTTTTTTTTGTAAAATGTTTGTGGACTATGCTTATTACCTAACAGCGAAGACTGATAGGTTTCTAATTGGGTAAAAAGAGAGCAGCAGATGACTCCACAGGGGGGTCTGGGCAGCCGTTGGGGAGCCGTTGGGGGGCCGTTGGGGGGCCGTTGGGGATTGCCGGGGAACCTCGTTTTTCGCAAACAGTCACACACTTCGTGCTCTTCGACCTCCCAGAACTCCATTCCCGGGCCACATTCTGAATGCCCGGAGCCAACTGTAGGCCACTTCGTGGTCTTCGAGTTCCCAGAACTCCATTCCCGGCGTACATTTTGGATGCCCGGAGCCAACCGTAGGCCACTTCGTGGTCTTCGAGTTCCCAGAACTCCATTCCCGGGCCACATTTTGGATGCCTGGAGCCAACTGTAGGCCACTTCGTGGTCTTCGAGTTCCCAGAACTCCATTCCCGGGCCACATTTTGGATGCCCGGAGCCAAGTGTAGGCCACTTCGTGCTCTTGGACTTCCCAGAACTCCATTCCTGGTGTGATTTTGAATGCCCGGAGCAGACTGTAGGCCACTTCGTGTTCTTCGAGTTCCCAGAATTCCATTCCCTGGCCACATTTTGAATGCTGAGGCAGGCTGATGCTGAGGCTGAGGCAGGCTGAGGCAGGCTGAGGCTGAGGCCGAAGCTGAAGGCTGATGCAGGCTGAGGCTGAGGCTGAAGCAGGCTGAGGCTGATGCAGGCTGAGGCTGAGGCAGGCTGAGGCTGAGGCTGAGGCTGATGCAGGCTGAGGCTGAGGCAGGCTGAGACTGAAGCCGAGGCTGAAGGCAGATTGAGGCTGAGGCTGAAGCAGGCCGAGGCTGAGGCTGAGGCTGAGGCAGGCTGAGGCTGAGGCAGGCTGAGGAGGCTGAGGCTGATGAGGCTGAGGCCGAGGCTGAAGGCAGACTGAGGCTGAGGCTGAGGCTGAGGCTGAGGCTGATGCAGGCTGAGGCTGAGGCAGGCTGAGGCTGAGGCTGAGGCTGAGGCTGCAGGCTGAGGCTGAGGCTGAGGCAGGCTGAGGCTGAGGCTGGCTGCTGAGGCTGAGGCTGAGGCTGAGGCTGAGGCTGGCTGCTGCAGGCTGAGGCTGATGAGGCTGAGGCTGAGGCAGGCTGAGGCTGAGGCTGAGGCTGAGGCTGAGGCTGAGGCTGAGGCTGAGGCTGAGGCTGAGGCTGAGGCTGCAGGCTGAGGCTGAGGCTGAGGCTGCAGGCTGAGGCTGAGGCTGAGGCTGCAGGCTGAGGCTGAGGCTGAGGCTGAGGCTGAGGCTGAGGCAGGCTGAGGCTGAGGCTGAGGCTGCAGGCTGAGGCTGAGGCAGGCTGAGGCTGAGGCTGAGGCAGGCTGAGGCTGAGGCTGAGGCAGGCTGAGGCTGAGGCTGAGGCAAGGCTGAGGCAGGCTGAGGCTGAGGCTGAGGCTGATGCAGGCTGAGGCTGAGGCAGGCCTGAGGCTGAGGCCGAGGCTGAAGGCAGACTGAGGCTGAGGCTGAAGCAGGCTGAGGCTGAGGCTGAGGCAGGCTGAGGCTGAGGCTGAGGCAGGCTGATGCTGAGCCAGGCTGAGGCTGAGGCTGAGGCTGATGCAGGCTGAGGCTGAGGCCTGAGGCCGAGGCCGAGGCCTGAAGGCAGACTGATGCTGAGGCTGAAGCAGGCTGAGGCTGAGGCTGAGGCAGGCTGAGGCTGAGGCTGAGGCAGGCTGAGGCTGAGGCTGAGGCTGATGCAGGCTGAGGCTGAGGCAGGCTGAGGCTGAGGCCGAGGCTGAAGGCAGACTGAGGCTGAGGCTGAAGCAGGCTGAGGCTGAGGCTGAGGCTGAGGCTGAGGCTGAGGCAGGCTGAGGCTGAGGCTGAGGCAGGCTGATGCTGAGGCAGGCTGAGGCTGAGGCTGAGGCTGAGGCAGGCTGAGGCTGAGGCAGGCTGAGGCTGAGGCCGAGGCTGCAGGCAGACTGAGGCTGAGGCTGAGCAGGCTGAGGCTGAGGCTGAGGCAGGCTGAAGCTGAGGCTGAGGCTGATGCTGAGGCAGGCTGAGGCTGAGGCTGAGGCTAATGCAGGCCACTGCGACTGTCATCGCGAATGCGACTACGACTGCGAGAACAGCAGAACTCTACAACTGGATTCTCATCTGAATCTTAAGGGGGATGCTTCCAGATATGCTCCTACACATCGCTGTTAGGTTGCTTTGCCGGGATAATTTTTCGTTCAAAATCGTTGAAAACAAGAGGACGTGATCGTTTTCTTATTCCTTGCTTTGCCGTTCGGCGAGGGCCCTTGCACCCCCCCTCTCCCTTCTTTTGGCGCCTGTCTCGAGCAGGCGGGGACCATCCCCCGCAGGACGCACGTTGCAGACAGTCGCTTTAAACAGAGGTCCGGAGCCAGACCCCCCCTCCCCCTCCTTTCCGCCCAATGTCGAAACGCCGAATCAGAAAACGCTTACAACGGACTCCTAACCCTGATAACGCGATGAAGACGTGGCCTCACTGAGGCCCCCGTCTTCACATTAGGGATCATAGATCTCGGCGGTTTGGTTCCATACATCTGCAGAAACAGACCCCCTGTCCCTAATGTTCCTGGCCCTCCTGAATTAGGTCGCCTCCCAAAGGGTTAGGGGCCCTTTTATGCCTAATCAAATCTAGGCCTGCCAGAGGGGATCAAAGCAGACGAGGTCGGAGGCTCGCACTGCATCGCGGATGCATCGCCGCTGCATCGGCGATGCGGCTCGATGCGGAGCCCGCTTTTATCTACGCCGACGTCGCCGATGCATCGCACACGTCGCCGATGCGTCGGCGATGCATCGGCGACACATCGGCGATGCGGTGCAACCCTCTGGCCCCATCTACTCGGACCTCATCTAGGAGGCCTCCAGGCAACCGTGGTTGGCCTTCAGGAGGCCCCCTTGACACCACGGCTAGAAGCAGCCTGGAAGCTGTCAGGGTCACGGAGGACTCTGCCGGATCTCCGGCTCGCCGACGATTTTTGATTGGCGCTTCATGAAATGTGACGGCCCAATTTCCATGGAATGTTTGCCGCGGGAGTTCGCGTCGAACTTCAGACTGGGCCCCATCATGTTTCTGACGGCCACGTCAGGCCAACTCGAATCGCCCAAACTCGAGTCTTCCGTGCCCCCGAAACTGATACGTTTGGACCGCGGCTGGCGTTTCCAAGTTGCGTTGGCAGGATCTTCACAGTAGCACTTGCGAGGCGCAGGCGCTGTGTGTATAGCAAGAGTGCGGCCACGTGCAACGCGACCCCGCGCCAGCTGACGCCCCGTTGTTGTGGTCCACTTCTGCGGCTTCTCAAGCTGGTCTGAGGATGATGCAGCTGGCGCCGACATCGCGTCAGTCGCGCGGTTCTCGAGGAAAGAAATTCTTTACGCTTCGCGTATCCCCACCAGCCCATCTCACAGCAGCAACTCTCGCGAAGCATGCCGACAGTCGTGTTTTTCAGGCGTGTGTCCGCTTGGCCCCGCATATCTCCCCTGTTCCTCCTTCCTCCCGCCTCCTTGTACATCCTCCTTGTGGGGGGAGCGGGAGAAGGACGAGGCGGAGGAGGAGGGAGAGAAAGCGCTCCTCGTGATTTGAGTCGTTCGGGGTTTCTCGTCCTGGTGTGAGTCGTTCGGGCCCTTCTTCCTGGTGTGAGTCGTTCGGGCTCTTCTTCCTGGTGTGAGTCGTTCGGGCTCTTCGTGGTGTGAGTCGTTCGGGCTTCTCGTGGTGTGAGGTTCGGGCCCCTCGTGGTGTGAGTTCGTTCGGGCCCCTCCTCCTGGTGTGACTCGTTCGGGCTCCTCGTGGTGTGAGTCGTTCGGGGCCCGCGTCGTGGTGTGAGTCGTTCGGGCTCCTCGTGGTGTGAGTCGTTCGGGCGCCTCGTCCTGGTGTGAGTCGTTCGGGCCCCTCCTTGTGGTGTGAGTCGTTCGGGCTCTTCGTGGTGTGAGTCGTTCGGGCCCCTCGTCCTGGTGTGAGTCGTTCGGGCTCCTCGTCGTGGGGCCTCTTGGGGCCTCTTGGGGGCCTCTTGGGGGCCTCTTGGGGGCCTCTTGGGGGCCTCTCTTGGGGCCTCTTGGGGGCCTCTTGGGGGCCTCTTGGGGGCCTCTTGGGGGCCTCTCGGGGGGCTCTTGGAGGCCTCTTGGGAGCCTCCTGGGGGCCTATTGGGGCCATCTTGGGGCCTCTTGCGACCTCCTCAGAAGCGCAAATGAGCGCTGCCCCCTGATAAGGACAAAATGAGCCCGAAACCTTCGTAAAATCAATGATTTTGCTATGAAGGAAGATGAGCGCGGCCCCCTTCAGGAGGCCAAAATGGGGCCAAAACCGTAGTAAAATCAACGATTTTGGCTTCCAAGAAGAGCAGAGGGGCCAAACTGTATCCCCCCGACGGGGCCAGAATCCTCGTGAGGGTCGTCGTTTTTTGGCCCTCCCAGGAGTCAAAAAAAAAAAACCCTGACTACGCCCCGGACTCCCTGTCCAGGTCCAGGGGGAGGGGGTAGGGGGAGGGGTAAACACCTCCCCGAAGGGGAAGAAGGGGGGTTGAGGACAGAGAGAGCTCTCTAAACCACTCACGCCCAAAGGGCTGGTGGGACTTGTTGCGTTTGGACCCCGGGAGGGGTCCAGGGGCCGATTTGAGCCGCCGATTTCCCAGCGGCGACGGGCGGCGACGACGACGGAAACCACGACGACGACGCTAACGACGACGACGATGACGACGACGACGCTAACGACGACGCTAACGACGATGATGACGACGACGGCGACGACGACGTGAACGACGACGACGACGATTACGGCGCTAACGACGACGCAGACGACGACGACGACGACGAGCTCCGAGGTACGGCCTGGGCGGCTCGCGTCCGGGCACCGCCATCGGCGCCTGGGTGGCGCTCGACGACGCCGGGCCCGCGCAGGGCAACGGCCCCCTCATTCGGAGGGCAAAGCGCAGCTGGACCGCAGACTTTCGGCTGCTCCGCGCGGGTGCCTCGCATCGGCGCTGGGGGCCCGCTCCCTGGCGGCGCCAGGGGCGGCGCCGGAGGCGCCGCCAGGGGGGGGGGGCCCAGCGCCGAGGCGAGAGATCCGCGCGGAGGAGGAGGACGAGGAGGGGGAAGAAGAGAAGGAGGAGGAGGAGGAGGTGGAGGAGGTGGAGGAGGAGGAGGGAGGCGCTTGAAGGAGGAGGAGGGAGGCACTTGAGGGAGGAGGAGGAGGAGGAGGAAAAGGTGGGGGAGAAGGAGGAGGATGCTTAGGGTGCTGACGCAATGGCCGACCACCCAATGTCGGTCTCACTGACAAAGTATTAGTAGGAGGAGGAGGAGGAGGAGGAGGAGGAGGAGGAGGAGGAGGAGGAGGAGGAGGAGGAAGGAGGGAGGAGGAGGGGGGGGGAGGGGGAGGGGGAGGGGGAGGGGGAGGAGGGGGGGAGGGAAGTTTCGCCCCAGCCCGAGATCCTGACCTCCTCCGAAAGTGCATGTTTGTGCCGTTTTTTGTTCCTCGGCTCGTGTACGTGCCCGGCAGCCACCGCCTGCCCCCCATCTGCCCGGCGAGCAGCTGCGGCGGCGCCTGCAGGCCCGCGTGCATGCCGGCGCTGCTGGAGCCCGGACGCAGGCGCCTGGCGTCGCAGGAGCTGCCACTGCACCGGAAAGCGCTCGCACACTGCGCGAGGCAGGAGGAGGTTGTCGGTGAGCGCAAGACTGCGCTCCAGTCTGCTCGGTCTACTCGGGAGAGCTCAGAGAAGCTCAAGGACGAGAGAGGTCGCGTCCCGGACAAATTACCTCTCCTCGACGAGGCCCTTGATGTGAAGTTGGCCTCCTGGCGCCGTCCGCAGGACGCGGAGGAGGCAGGAGGGGGAGGGGGAGGGGGAGGGGGAGGAGGGCATGCCAAGTTGATCCGAGAGCGTGGCTGTTGTTGGCCCAGTCTTTTTTGCCCTCCTTCCCTGACGCAACGGCCATCCAGCCAATGCCAGTCTAACGTAGAAGCGGACGAGGAGGAGGAGGAGGAGGAGGAGGAGGAGGAGGAGGAGGAGGAGGAGGAGGGAGGATGAGGAGGAGGAGAAGGTGGAGGAGAACGAGGAGAGGAGGAGAAGGAGGAGGGGGGAGGAGGAGGAAGAGGAAGGAGAAAGAGGAGGAGGAGAAGGAGAAGGAGGAGGAGGAGGAGGAGGAGGAGGAGGAGGAGGAGGAGACGTCGCAGGAGCTGCACCGGGAGGCGCTCGCGCAGTGCGCGTGGCGCAACCTGAGCGCGCAGGCCTTCTCGAAGAAGAGATATACGGCATGCTCATAATTTTTCGGAGCTCCGCGGATTTCTTCGATCGGCGCTGGCCCCCCTCCTCCTTCAAAGCCTCCCTCCTCTTCCTCCTCCTCCTCCTCCTCCTCCCCCTCCTCCTCCTCCTCCTCCTCCTCCTCCTCCTCCTCCTCCTCTTCCTCCTCCCTCTCGCCCTCCCTCCCCGCGCGGATCTCTCGCCTCGGCGCTGGACCCCCCGAGGCGGCGCCCCCGCCCTCACAACTTCCACGATCCGAGCGCCACGGAACGTGGGGCCCCTGGCGCTGAGCCGAAGAACCCACACACGGAGCTCCGAAAGGTCGTGGTCTGGCCGCTTCTTCTCCCTCTGCAGGTCCTCCCGGTGCGTGCTGGCGACGTGGTGCTGTGGCACTCCAGCTTCCCCAATAGGGGTCCGATTAGGTGGGGTCGGAGGACCACACCGCATCGCCGATGCATCGGCGGTGCAGCTCGAAGTGGAGCCCGAGTCTCTCCACTCCGCCGCCGCCGATGCATCGCCGAGGTCGCGGTTGCATCGCCGATACGCCGCCGATGCCTCGGCGGTGCGGCACGGTCCTCCAACGCGGCGGCTCGGACCCCGCCTGGGGGGCCCCGAGGCACGAGGCGCTCCTGCACGGCGGCTCGGCGGTGCTGCGCCCGAACGGCACGCGGCGCAGCCTCGTGTTCCACTACAACGCGGCGCCCGAGAGGCCCGACGCCTCCCCCCTCGCGCGGGCGCTGCTGCGCCGGCCGCCGGCGCGGGCCTGGGCGGGCGGCTGTGCGCCCGCCACAGGGTCGGCGGCCCCGGCGGGAGGGGCGTGCGACGCCGGGGAGGGCGCCGCCGCGGCGCCGGAGGACGAGGCCTGCCCCTCCGGAGCAACGCCGGGGGCGAGGGGCGCGAGGGGCATGCCGCGCGCGAGCGAGAAGCGGCGCCCCTTTCCCAGGGAAGCCCAGGGCGCGCGGGCGCGCAGGAGGGGCCAGGGGGCGAGGGCGGGGGCCCTCAGCGCCGTCGCAGGCGATTCCGCGCGGGGCTCCGACAGTTGCTGCTTACTCAGGCAGTTGTTTTTTCTTCTGCTCTTGGAGGCCCCTCCCCTCGCCTTGAGTCGGGCCTGTCCCTCTACAGGGGGAGCATCCAAAAATAGTCAAAAATAGTCGGGGGAGTATTTGAAAGTATTTTTTTGCCATTTTGGAGGATTTGTTGTCTTTTAAAATCTGTTTTTTCGTCGAAGTTTCCCCTGCAGGGGGACACGCCTGACTTAACCCTCGCTTCACCTCTGCGTGTGCGTCGTCGGGGCGCGAGGGCGGCGGGTCCAGCTGCGGAGCGGGAATGGGGGATTCTCAAGCAGTGGCGAAGCGTCATGGCTCGCCTATGAGCTTAAGTCGGGCCTGTCCCTCTACAAGGATAATATTCAAAAGGTAATCAAAAATAGTATGGGGACTATTGTTCTAGTATCTTTGGGCATCGTTTGAGTTTTTTTTTTGTTCGTTTCTTCATTTTTCGTCCTGTAGGGGGACAGGCCCGACCTAACTAGAGGCCTACCAGAGAATGTTCTAAGCACCTTCTGTGGCTTCAACGAAATGTTCTTAGAACATTTCTGCCTGGGACTGCCTTGTGTTCGCACATCGATGTGATGCTCTAAGTACATTGCTCTTGTTCTCAGAGCATTACTAGGTTCTGAGAACATGTCGTGATGGGCCTACAGGAGTGCCGGCGCGGTCGGACCCTGCTCCAGGGAGGAGGCCACGACCGAGGCACGGGCACTGGAGCCTCCTGCGCACGAGCGGAGCCCGTCTCTGCAGCGGACCACTCGTGCTGCTGCCGGCGCTCCGCTCCCCGGGCTCGCCGCCGTGCTGCCGCTGCGTGTCGTTCTCACACGGGCAGGGCTCGTTTCGATTCGAGTTCGATCATCTCCGATTCCGACTCGATTCGACGTCGGATTCCGATTCGGGCTCCGATTTCTCGATGGGATGCCTACTAGCCTGCCGATTTCCCCCAATCCGATTTATTTCGATTGCCGATCCGGCTTATCGATTCGATGATGGGCTCTCCTGCACGGGGCGTGTCCATCACTGCAGCTGGTGACGTCTGGCTCGTTACACTCGCCTTGCGCCTGCTGCTCCCGCTCACCGTTCTCGCAGGCGGCGGTGTCGATACTGCAGCCGATGACGCAAGGGTTCCCCGTCTCGCACCCGTGCCGCCGGTGCCCGCCGTGCTCTGCAGCGGCCCCAGAACGGTGGATGATGCTGGCCTCCCGCGCTGTTTCCCACCGACCCCCAGGGGGGACGATGAGAGGGAAGAAGAGGAAGGAGGAGCAGGAGCAGGAGGAGGAGGAGGAGGAGGCGGAGGAGGAGGAGGAGGAGGAGGAGGAGGGCGTCTTCGCGTCCCTCTTGTCCTTCCTCGGTTCGGTCGGAATCCTCGGCTTCGCCCCTCGTCCCGGTCCCCTTCGTGTCGTCCTTCCTCTTCCTCCGATAGTTGATGATGCGACCCCCGCCACCATGCCCGCAACCAGCGGTCCCAGTGATGCAGCTGGTGGTGCTGAGGCTCCCCGTGTCGCTCTGGTGGTGCCACTGCTCGCCGTTCTTACTTGAGCCCGCTCCTGGGACGGTAACCGATGACGTTGGGCTCTCGATCTTCTCGCACGGGCTGCTACCATGCCTGTTGTTGATGGTGAACGGCTCGTCCTTTTGCCATGGGCGTCGTCAGGTCGTCGGTTCCGTGGGTGTTGACATAGAGCTCCGCCAGTTCGTACTCGTGGGCTCTTTTGGCACAAGTTCGGTGGCGGTGTGAGGGGGGGGACGCAAGAGGCGGGGGGGGCGCAAGAGGGGGGGGAGGAGTAGGAGGAGGAGGAGGAGGAGGAGGAGGAGGAGGAGGAGAAGAAGGAGGAGGAGGAGCAGGAGGAGGAGGAGGAGAAGGAGGACGAGAAGGATGATGATGGTGATGATGATGCTGATGATGATCATGATGATCATGATGTTCATGATGATGCTGATGCTGATGATGATGCTGATGCTGATGATGATGCGAATCATGATGAAGATGACGATGTCGATAAGGATGATGCTGCTGATGATGCTGCGACTGATGGCGAAGCTGATGATTATGATGATGATGATGCTGGTGGTGGTGATGATGATGACAATGATGATGTTGATGATGATGCAGATGATGATGCTGATGATGATGGTGCTGATGATGATGACCCGCTTGATGCTGATGACGAGCATGATGATGCTTATGATGATGATGACGACGACGATGATGCTAATGATGATGATGATGATGATGATGATGATGATGATGATGATGATGATGATGATGATGGTGCTGCTGCTGCTGCTGATGATGATGATGATGATGATGCTGGTGATGATGCTGATGCTGCTGATGATGCTGATGCTGATGCTGCTGATTATGATAGGGAGGAAGAGGAGGAGGAGGAGGAGGAGGAGGAGGAGGAGGAGGAGAAGGAGGGGGGGTGCAAGAGGTCAAGAGAGGGGGGTGCAGAACAGTGGCCATCAAATGGCCGCGCTGACTCGCAGGCCTGACCCGCAGGGCTCCTGACGGCAGTACCACTCTCAGGCGGGCCGCCATATTTCTGGCTTTCCTGCTTGAGAGGGGTGGCTTTGAAGAAGGGGGGGAAGGAGGGAATGATGATGAGGAGGAGGAAGAAGGAGAGGAGGAGGAGGAAGAGGAGGCGGAGGAGGAGGATAAGGAAGAGGAGGAGAAGGAGGAATAATAGGAGGAGGAAGTGATGAACATGAGGAGAGAAGGAGGAGGAGATGGAAGAGGAGGAGGGGAGGAAGATGACAAGGAGAGAAGGAGGAGGAGGAGGAGGAATAATAGGAGGATGAGGAGGAGGAAGAGGATATGGAGGAACAGCCGTGGTATCGAAGGTTAAGCTGCTCCCGGGAGGCTCAGCAGATCGGCCAGGAACTTGTAGAGTTCACAACCCCCGAGCGCCCTGGGTAGACCTTACCTGGGCACTTGGCTGCAGACGTCCTTCAACTTACGACCCCCCGCCAGACATGTGACATATGTCTGGCAGGTCGCCCTTGCCGCCCGCGCTGAGGCCCAGAAGAGCGGCCAGAAGTGCGCAGAATGCTTGAGCCCCCATCGCCCTGGGCAGAATCTGAACACCTCTCCCTCCAGGTCCGCCTCCTCCTCCTCCTCCTCATCTTCTGCTCCTCGATCGCAGGTCACTCCTCGCCCTCGATGCTCGATCCGTCGTCGATCTCTTGCCGTCTGGGAGCCGCGCCACGCCGCGCCGCAGCTGAGTGGTCTGCCCGCCGCGGGCGCGAATCTCCGTCGCGCCACAGCCGCCCACGAGGGGCGCGGGCTCGGGCGCGAGCCGGGACCCGCAGCGTCTGGCCCAGGCGCGGCGTCCGCCCCAGGTGTGTGGGGGGGGGGAGAGGGGGGGGGGGGGAGGGCGAGTGGCGGGGGAGGAGGATGTGGGCAGTGGGAGGTGGAGCAGGAGGAGGAGAAGGAGGACGAGGACGGGAGGGAGGTGAGGAGGAGGAGGAGGAGCGGGAGAGGCGGAGGACAGATGCTGAAGAGGGAGGGAGGTGAGGGGGACGGAGGACGAGGACCAGCGGGAGGAAGAGAATGTGGAGGAGGAGGAGGAGGAGGAGGAGGAGGAAGTGGACGATCATGACTTCCATGACCACCATGACGATCATGACGATGTTGATGCCGCTGTTGATGACGATGGCGATGACGGTGGTGGTGGTGGTGGTGGTGATGGTGATGGTGATGCTGATGATGATGGTAATGCTGGTGCTGTTGCTGATGATGATGATGATGATGATGATGATGATGACGACAATGATGCGCATGGTGATACTAATGATGGTGATGGTGGTGACGACGACGATGACGATGACGATGACAATACTTGTTACGATGAGAGTGTGGATTAGGATGAGGACGTGGATGAGGATGGTGAAGAAGACGATGTCGATGGTGCTGACGATGATGGTGACGATGCTGGTGATGACGTCGATGACGATGACGGTGACGATATTTCTAATGATGAGGTCGATGATGTTGTTGATGATAACGATGCTGATGAGGACTGCGATGATGATGATGATGATGCTGATGCTGATGCTGATGCTGATGCTGATGCTGATGACGATGATTATGATGACGATGATGCTGATGCTGATGCTGATGCTGCTAATGATGAGTATCGCAATGGTGATGATGGCGATGCTTAGGATGCGGATGCTGATTACACTCATGATGATGGCGTGGCTGGTGATGCTGATGATGATGACCATGAATAGTATGTTCTCTATGATGATGAGGATTATGATGATGCTATTGGTGATTATGCTGATGCTGGTGATAGTGTTGCTGCAACTGGTGATGGTGATGATATGTCCGATGGTGCCGATGTCGATGCTGGTTATGATGACGGTGATAATGATGTTGGTGATTATGATTGCGATGCTGCTGATTCTGCTGTTGATGCTGATGACCCCGATGCTGGTTAGAATGATCGTGGTGATGATGTTTATGCTGATGGTGGTGATGATGAGGCTGCTGTCATTCATGATAATGATGATGCTGATGATGGTGCTGATTATGCTTATGAGTATGATGATGATGCTGATTATGATGGTGGTTGTTGTGGTGGTGGTGGTAGTGATGACGACGACGACGACGACGACGACGACGACGACGACGACGATGATGATGATGATGATGATGATGATGAGGAGGAGGAGGAGGATGAGGATGATGCTGAGGATGAGGATGAGGATGAGGAGTATGCTGTCTGTGATGATGATTGCGATGACGAGGAGGAGGAGGAGGAGGAGGAGGGCCACGCAGAGGAGGAGGA